TTTTTTGTTGTTATCTGCTTGATGTATATATAGGCTGAAATAAAACTACAGTATTCGATTTCACTAAGCACGCACAGAAAACAGACCGCACTCTGAATCTCAGCCGCGATGCAGCTGTCTGTTCAGGCCCATAGAAAGAGCAATAAGCTTTTGTAGCTATAACGGAAGGTCTTAGCACTGAAGAAGGGACCCCTCTAGCCTTCTCTTGAATAGCCATTCTTTCATTCTTCTGACCTTCAGTCAAAAGATTCGAAAATCCGAAGAGTGTAAGTAGTGCTAGCAGAAGACCAAATGATTTTATGGCTTCCATCTGTTTTATGACATCAGGGACTGCTAAAATTTGTCAATTGTTACAAACAGAAATGGATTTTTAATGCAGAACAACTCTGTGAAGAACTGAGAAACCATTTATGCAGTACTCATCAGAATTAAAAGACAAAATATTGAAAATAGAGTATAATTTGTATAAAAAATTTCAAATCTTCCGTTATAATATGCGACACTATGTTCTTTGCTGATACAAAAAAAATTAATTCCATCCGTTTATCATAAAAATTGAGTTAGATACAGCATTTGTAAACGCAAAGCTTAAATTGTTTAGGCACACTAACAGAAACGTACATTTAAACGCAGAGTAGCAACGGGCATTTAAACGCGCACCAGCAGCGGGCATTTAAATAAACTCCGGCCAGCTCAAGCTTACCAGTATTTCAGAAGTCGGGCGTTTAAAGGTTAAATGTTAACTATCCATCTGCGTACCACCCTACACGTGACAGTATTTTACATTTCAGAGACTAATATTTGAGTCTTTCAGTATTTACGTTTCTCACATTAGGTCAAGTATGCTGTGACCTAACAACCATGAATGCATAGTGATGTTGGAATGCATGCGCTGTGCATGTGGTGTAATATGAAGGTGGACAAAGCGCATTGCAGTTTATGTATTCATGGGAGTCTGTATAATTGCCTGTGGCATAAGAAATAATTCTTAATTAATGCTTTATTAATATGAGACTGTTGGGTCTACATCATTACACCACAAATATTTTAATTTAATTTGATGCAGTATATGCAAATATCTATCAAACAAAATTTTATACTAATTTCTTTCGTTCTGCACAATGGAGCCAATCATTAGGTCAATTTTAAAACGCCATTTTGTGTTATTCATGAAAGAATTCACAGAAATTATCAGTACCAGAATTTCAGAACATATATTGTACAGATGGGTTAGAACACTGGTCGCTCACCCAAGGCTTAATGTAGAAATTTAATGACGACATTGGAACAGCTGATGCCTACCAGCTGATTCTGGCGAGCGGGAGCGCCAACAACATGATAGTAATTAAAATAGTCAATTATGGAAAAATAACTTTTCTTACATTTCTAACACTTTCACTCATCATGAAATAGCATCTTATGAAACTCAAACATTAATTCATTTTCTATATTTGGATTTTGTATCTAATCAGGATTTATATAGTTTAGTTTTTAGGGGGTTGGAATTCCGATATGTTTTTCGTGGTATGTTGGAAAAAAGTCAGAAAGTAATGCGATAAATATGTAAGTTTTTATGTTGAATGTTCATTAAAATGTTCGTTCGTTGACAAATGTCTCAATGAAACCGTGATTAGTTATTATTTTCGAAATTTGTATGGTGCTTTTGGTTTTCTTTTTTTGTTGTTTGTATATATACGTATGTGAGTCAAATGAAAACCGTAAACCTGAGATAAAAATTCGAAATATCGCGCCATTGTCCTATATGTTGGCAGACATGTTAGCAATGCTATAAAGAGTATCCTATAGGTGGCAGTATAATTCGGACGATTCAGACAAACAGAACACCATCACAGTTCGGTTTGAAGATGGCTGCTGGCTCGTAGGTACATACACAAAAGAAGAAGAACGTTCTGTGATTTTTTTTTTTTTGATCAGTGAAGGTGTGAAACCGATGGAAGTTCATCGACAGATGAAGGTTCGGTATGATGATGCATGCTTGTCACAGCAGCAAGTGTACGAGTGGAGTAGGAAATTCAGAAATGGTGTGACGTCTGTGGCAGACGCTCCTCACCCGCGTCAGGTGCACAGAGTTGTGACCCCCGAGTCTGTTGCAGCAGTTGAAGCCCTAGCGATAGAGAATCGCCAAGTGTCGGTGGATGAAATAGCCGAAATTCTTAACATGAATTACGGATCAGCACACCATGTCATTCATGATGTGCTCCAGTTTCACAAAGTGTCTGCAAGGTGGGTGCCACAGCAGCTGACTCCAGAATTGAAACAACGTGTTGACACCCGTAAAGAACTTCTGCGGCGCCTTGAAGCAGAAGGTGGTGGCTTCCTTTTGAGAATCGCTATTGGTGATGAAACTTGGGTGCACTACCACCAACCACAAACAAAGAGAACAAGCAAGGAATGGCATCATTCCTCATCACCAAAATCCAAGAAGTTGCGAATCGCATTAATGCATTTCCTGTAAGCATCCGTACTTCAAAGTATGAATGCATATTCTTAATAACTGCTGCAGACCAGCTCGGTAAATGTAACGGCAGTAAGCTGAAATTTCTAATTTATCTGTGCAGATTAGCAAGATAGCGATCATGTGATTGTTTTATACACATTGCGTTAACTAATCGGGTTAGTATCAACGGTATGAACTGTTAGCTTTACGGTTTGCAGGTCTAACATATAAGAGCCACATGGATACACAACAAAGGCGTATATTACTTTTGTCTACCTCTGTAGTGTATGGTTCCGAGTATCTTCATTATGCAACGGATGACATAAATAAGTTTTTGAAAAGTAAGTTGTGGCATTTGACCGCATGGTAGCTGAAATTACAAGAGCCCCGTGCTCAAGTACCAGTGTTATTAGATATACGAGTATAATGCATTATACCCATATAAATACCTCGTGCTTTTGTCATCCTTGCAGGCACAATGTTTCACATATCCTGTTTGTACCATATGCGTTACATGATTGCGATGAATACGCAAATAAAGTTACAGGTGCCTTCGAGAAATGGGGTGAGTGATGCCAGTATATTGTATCGTTCGTAACTGCAACTGTCAATTTGTGTATTTATAATACAGAGACCAGTTGGGGTGCATAATTTATAAGTTTTTTACAGACTGAACCTCAAAATAAAAAATTTGAGAAAGGTTAGGTTAAATAAGTAAATAAAGGCCAATTTCAGCATAGACACCATAGTGGATACTTAGCCCCAATATTTAATATGTAGTTACACCTTTTGTATTAAAAATAAGGAAACATGCCAGTTTGGAAGTCCACCCTCACTGTGATAACACCGACTGTGCCCAAGAACATACCAAATTTATTCCAGAATTTAGGTTTTGACATAGTAAATCCCTTGAAAATGTCAGTCTTTCTACTTGGATTGTAAACCAGACCATTCTCAGAACCGGTTTTATTATTACAGAGCCCATCAAAATATATATTTATAGTTGAGATTTCTAATCTAACTTAAACACATGGTGGAATGGAGAACCCTAGAAGAAGCCTGAGGAAAGGACCTCTGTAGGGTGTGTCAGTGCTCATCCATATTCTTGATTCCTCCCATTCTGCGTTATATAATCTGTGTATAAATTAAGAAAAAGAGACATGCCTTCAGTTCTGAAATTACGTTATTGTTTATATGACAGTGCCTTTAAAACAGCAGCATAGGCTGGAATAGCGGGATGATTATGAATGGCAACTTGAGAAAGCAGCAGACTTAGCCTTTTTATAATTTTAAAGTGTTAGCTCAGGAAAGACAAGAAAATCACATTGTGACATTGGGTAATTAAGCTTTTAGGCTAACTAGCAACATTACTATATAACATTTGGTCTGACTGATTACACAAATTAATTTGAAGTGAGTGCACTGAACTATTAGCATATCTACTATATTGGAGGTGAGTTATAGTTCAAATGTTGAAAGCAGAATTATGGAAATACTCACCATTTCTCATTCAAGCCTGAAAATTAATTATTAGGTACTGGTCCTACTGCTGGTTGCTATACAGTGAGTCAGGTATCTTTTCAGTAGAGCGGATATCATATGATATTCCTAAATTTAAAGAGGCATTAACAGATTTCCTGACCACCAACTCTTTCTACACTGTGGAGGAATACTACTGTTATAAATAAGAATTTTGAAGTTTGACTATATCTAAAGTATTGAAATTGCTGATTTTATGATGGTAAATTTTTATTATTTTGATTGTAAGATGTCAGCTTTATGTTTTTAAATGTACTATTTTGTGCATAAATATTGTGACTATCTTGCATGTTTTTATAATTTGTCCCATCATATAAAAGAAAATTTGTGTTGACTGGTTTCAGTCATTTTTGAAACTGTGCATGTAAGGGACTTGTTCCACATCCAGTGGCGTTTTAGCCCCTCTGGATATATGGAATTGGAAATATGTAGGGCAGTCAAAAAGTTCCTGGAATTCCCCTGCAGACGGAGAACGAGTGGTAAGATAGCGCACACACTGTTGTGGTGGGGAGCTCAGCATGTCTGCTCACAGGGGGAACAGGTCTGGACAGGTTTCAGTGTGCAGTGTCATTTCTGTTCCATTTGAATTAGACGTGAGTGTTGGTCATTCGGCGCAATGTCGCAGTTTGAACAGCGTGCGAACATCAAGTTCATGTGCAAATTGGGAAAATCTGCTTCAGAGATGCAATCGGCCCTGCAGCAAGTTTACGGTGATACTGCACTAAAGAAATCCGCAGTTTACAACTGGTTCTTCTGGTTTAAGAATGGGCAGGAGACGTTAGAGAATGACCAGCGCACCAGGAGACCTTCGACATTCAGAACCGAAAGAATGATTGGAAAAGTGTGACAACTTATTTGATGTGATCGAAGAATGACCATCGCGGAGTTGGAGCAAGAAGTTGGTATCTCTCACGGATCCATTCATGCCATTTTGTCCAATGATTTGAAGATGAGACGCGTCAGTGCAAAGTTTGGTCCGAGGCAGCTGACCACAGATCAGATAGAATGTCGCATGATGGTCACTGGTGATCTGTTTGACAAAAGTACGCAGAACCCGATGTTTCTCAAAAAGATTCTCATGGTGATGAGTAATTGGTGTTCGCCTGTGACCCGGAGACGAAGCTGCAGTCATCAGAGTGGCACACAGCATCGTCTCTCCAGTCAAAAAATCATGCCTCATCAGATCCAAAGGCAAAGTGATGCTCATTGCATTCTTTGACATCGATGGTTTTGTGCACCATGAGTTTGTACCGCCTGGACAGATTGTTACTGGCCATTTCTACGTGCAAGTTTTGCAGAGGTTGCACAATGCAGTTTGGAGGAAGCGGCATGACAAGTGGCGGAGACAGTGGTTTCTGCATCATGATAGCACACCGAGCCACACATCGCTTGTTGTGCAGAAATTCATCACCGAGAAAAACATTCCTGTCATCACTCAACCACTGTACTCTCCGGATCTCGCTCCGAGTGACTTTTGGCTGTTCCCTACTCTGAAAATGGGCCTCAAGGGGACACTTTTCGCAACCATAGAGGACATAAAATCGAATGCGACGGCTGAGCTCCGGACGACTCCAAAAGAAGTCTTCCACCACTGCTTCCAACAATGGCATGATCGATGGAGCAAGTGAGTGTGCGCATAAGGGTCCTACTTTGAAGGTGATTAGGTAAGCGTTGCCGTATGTCCTACCATTAGAGTGCTATACCACCATTCCAGGAACTTTTTGACTGACCCTCGTAAATATGAATGAATATGAATATAAATAGAAGAACTTTAATGTGGACCCCAGATCTCTCATAGCATTACATTTTGTTTTCTTCCATATTCTTGGATGGGAAGTAACCAACTTCTGTATGTTGTACAGTTATATTTCTAGGTTACAAAGTAAACAGTATCCACACCTCAGAAGATCCTGTTCGGGCTGTAGAAGAAGCAGAAGCATTTTTTGTGGGTGGTGGTAACACATTCCAACTCTTGAAGGCATTGTATGACTTTAAGATAATTGATCCAATCAGAAAGCGTGTGCTAGAGGTAATATTTATGGTATGAAAGTTGTGAATTGTCTTTTGTTAGTCATCAATTCCTAATTGATAATACTGAAATAATAATAATCTCTTTATGTTAAATTAACTTTCAGGAAGGTATACCATACATTGGAAGCAGCGCAGGCTGTAATGTGGCAACTGTCAGTATTTGTACAACAAATGATATGCCTATTGTACATCCACCCAGCTTCACAGCTCTTGGGCTTATTCCTTTCAACATCAACCCTCACTATTTGGATGACAATCCTACAACACATATGGGAGTGAGTATCGGCTACTTATTGCGCTTTGCAGCTGTTTTGCTTCCCTGCAAAAATCTCCATCTTTGTTCAAAGAACTTCAAGGAAGCCATTTGCAGTAATAGATTACAGAACACACCCTTTCCAGTCTTGTTACTGTTTGTATAATGTCGACAGTCATCCAGGTCATCTAATGAAGATGAGTACAGTATACCAACAAAAAACTATTTAATAATTTCAGGAAACACAGGAACAAAGAATTGAATAGTACCATAAGATCCCTGGAGCTCCTCCTGTGGTGGGTTTGTGAGAAGGAAGCCTACTGCATATTGAAGGAGATAAAATGACACTTGTAGGGAAGTGTAGTGCACATATATTTTCACCGTTAAGTAAAATTTCTAATGATTGAAGTATTTTAGGATGGAGTGTAAGGGTTGGGATATGTGTTGCTCCATTTCCTCTCTTATTGCCAACCTGTGCATCACATTCTGCACTGTTTTCACAAATTAGGCTGCGGATAGGAGAGTCGTGGTGATGGAGCCTTTGCATCTGCATCTGAAGGAAAGGTAATACTACAAAAAATAAATTAAGTAGCTTTAGAGTGTAATTTAAGATGAATAAAATTGTTTGAAATCTTGACAAGTAATTTGCGCAGTTGAGTCATGTACAGAGGAGAATGTTAAGGCTGTAGTGTGAACGCTCATTTTATCAGCTGTGTGCTGTCTTGTTCATTATTGCTCATTGCCCTGGATACTCATAATATCCTAAAAAAAATAATAATATGCCTATGGCAATATTTCTTCGTTTGTAAAGTGATTATCATGAAAATAATGAATAATGCAGTAGTATCATCATCATTAGCATTTTCTGAACTGAAGATTTTCTTAAAATTTATAATCTCTCATGTTCATTTTCTGTAGCTTAGGTCATATATCCAAAGAATCCATCCAGGTTCGAGGCCCTTTGTGACATTTCATTACCAGCTTATTTTTTATGGAAAGGAGCTGTTAGTCCCTTGCCCAACCCCCAAACTGGAGGACCACCCCTTTTTAGGTCTCTGCGACTGCTTATTCATTATATTCGCAGCTACCCTCCATATCTGGAGGCCATTTCCTCCATCGACAACCTGAGGACATGCCGTGCCATGGTGACAAGGGACCTACCTAATGTGGGGTGATGGGATGTTGGAGAAAACTACATAATGAGGAGCTTCATAGCTCGTACCCTTCACCAAGTATAATTAGAATGATCAAGTCAAGGAAGATGACATGGGCAGGGCTTGTGGCACGAAATTGAGTGAAGAAGAATGCATATAGGATTTTGGTGGGAAAGCCAGAAGGAAGGAGATCACTAGGAAGACCAAGACATAGGTGGGTGAATAATATTAAAATGGATCTTTGAGAGATAGGATGAGGTTGTATGGACTGAATTGATTTGACTCAGAATAGAGACCAGGGGAGGCCACTTGTGAACATGGTAATGATCCTTTGGGTTCCATAAAATGCTGGGAGGTTCTTGAGTATCTGCACAACTGGCGGCTTCTCAGGAAGGGCTCAGTGCCATGAAGTTAGCAGTTAATTATATAATCTCCTTTCCTCACAACTAATTGCTAATTAGGAGCTATGCTGTATGAGTAAAAGTCAACCCACTGTTTTCTGCATATCCATGTACATAGATTGCTCATGTTCTGCTCACAAGTCCCACCCATATTCCACCCATAACTCTCTGCACACGTGTGTATTTGTAATGAACTTGAGTAACAGATGTATCATTGTACCAATCATTTTGTGGATACACTGTGTTATGGGTTGTTCTAAATGCATCGTTGGAGTGTGTGCAACTTTTGACTTTATACAACTAAGCAATGGTTTTGTATCAGCCATTACAGCCATTTAACTGTTAAATGCATGTTTTGATAGTGGCATGTAAAGTGTACATAAATCCATAACTGTTTATTTTTTCTATTTACATTACCACCCTGTTTATAAGACAGATGGATAGGATCCATACAATCTATAGTTCCCTCATCTGTGACATAGGCTGGTAGTCCACATCTCATCTCATGTTTGTTACACTATCACAAACTGGTATCATAAAATGAGTTTCATCAATGTGTACTCATATAAGAAAGGAACAACGTTAATTTTCTGAGAGTAGTGTTTTATGTACTTTCCATTTGTTCTTCAGTATCATAAAAACAAAGATATCAATGAGGTTTAAGTCCTACCATCTTCCTGTCACACTTTTTGATGAGCTACCAAGTTCATATCAAGGTATTATTTCAAGTTTCATATTAAAGTCTCAACTCTTCTATTTCATTGCCATAATTATAGTTTTTCAAAATTTTTCAGTCAGCACCAACTGAAATAAAGTGGATATTTGATGTAATAAGACCTTAAGCATGTTTCCTCCTATTCATGTTCTGTGACATCAGAGAGAGCTTAGAGGAAGAGGATACCAGTGTAACATGGAAAGAAAGAATCTGCATGGTGCAGTAGTCATCACGTGATGTACATTTCCCAGTTTTTTAAACTCAGAGTTAGCTGCTGGAATGCAAAGTTTGTCCAAGACAATGGACAGAGAGGGAGGACCTTCAGGGCTGCTAGCCATAAATAACATCAGGAACAAAATTGCAAGTAGAGTTTGTGCAAGAAGTTATGGGAATGCAGTACGAGCAGTGATGAATGTGCTGGTTAAAACGTTCATTTAATCCGGTGGTTTCCATTTGTTCAACAGTAAGAAGTTGACAGTTTCAGTGTTTCGTGTCACTATAATGAAACTCTCATTATAAGAAGTACTAAGTCTACTGTATTTCATTGTATTGACTTAGAACTTTCATACATATATTTCTGCAGAGGAGCAGAGGAATATCCTACACAAAATAAGGAAATGGAAGGCTAATTGAATTGGTCATGTTTTACGCAGAAACTGCCTTCTAAAAGAAGTTATCGAAGGAAAGATAGATGGGCGGCTAGAAGTGACAAGAAGACGTAAGAAGATGCTGGATGACCTTGGGGAGAGAAGAGGATACTGTCATTTGAAGGAGAAAGCTCTAGATCGCATTAAGTGGAGGAATTGTTTTGGAGGAGACTGTGGACCTGTCGTCTTGACAGATTACTGATGATGATGATGATTTCTGTTTTCGAGGGGAAAGAATCCTGAGGAGTATGAAGCAGGGTCAGATCTTAGTTTTCTGCTGAAAGCTGTGTGACAAGTTAACACATTCTAATTTTTAAAGTGAAAAGTGCTTTATATGATTTAAATTAACGTTATATTGGGAAGGACATTTCAGTTTTTCAGCATTCAGCTTAAGTATTGTTGAATGTATGTGTGATCAGGGTGTGATTAAATGTATATGTAATCAACTTACATGATATGTAACATGTATTTTAATAATTTTACACTTATGTTCTGATGACTTTTATTGTCTTATAAACTGGCAGAACTACCCATTTTTTGTAGTTATAACATTGCGATTTTCCACTTTGTGTTTCCTGGTTTCAGTTGTTTCTGGTAGTACAGGCATGCTATATCATGTATGCATTGACATGACATTAAGAAATTATTGATGATAATCTCAGAATTCTTCATGCCACTTGGAAAGACTCTGTGTACACTGGAATAGATGGGACCTCTAATTTTGAAGATATAAATGAACATCAAAACACACATTTAATTTTATATGTAAGACTGTACATATTTGAAACAGTATGTGGTATATAATGCTGGTCATTAAAATATTAACATCAACCATACCTCATTCCTAGGGCAATTTTATATGTAAGAGTGTACATATTTGAAACAGTATGTGGTATATAATGCTGGTCATTAAAATATTAACATCAACCATACCTCATTCCTAGGGCAATTTTATATGTAAGAGTGTACATATTTGAAACAGTATGTGGTATATAATGCTGGTCATTAAAATATTAACATCAACCATACCTCATTCCTAGGGCAATTTTATATGTAAGAGTGTACATATTTGAAACAGTATGTGGTATTACAATGCTGGTCATTACTATTTGTTACTATTTGTTCTGGTGCTCAACACTTTCAGGGGAAAACTAGAATAGAATATTCTAACAAATGAACTGAGAAAAGAATTATACATTAAGTTTATATCGTTGGAGCCAAAAACTGAGTCCCAGGTTTCAAGACTCAGTTTATATTCAAAATCCTGTATCATAGCCAGTTCAATTTTCCTTATGATTTTTGACACAGTTTTCTGGCCCTAAATTCTAGAAACTTCTGATACAGGATGCAACACCGATCAAATTCTTGAAGTTGAGTTTCTAGTTCTATGTAACCTCTAAACAGCTTGACTTTTGGGCACATCCCAAGAGCCATACCCAGGCTCTTCCTTGCTGCGGTCGGGTTCTTGTTCCTGATCTCAAAGTGGGCATAGAGCAGCCAGATCTTCGAGAAGGTAAAGTGCTTGTGTAAGTAATTCAAGGCAATATTTGTACACCTGCCGAGTTCTCTTCACATCCTCTGCCTCCAACTCTTCAAAGAGAGCATAATTGATCCAAAGGTAGATGTAGTGGCGCCAGAATGATTTCTCTTTGGTGGGAGGAACGTTAGCAATAGCTCTCTCGTACGTCTCGCGGATTACTTCCAGATCACCCTCACTTTCCACCAGACGAAGATAGTCAAACCAAGCATCATAATTATTTGGGTTTGCTTTGACCTCCTCTTCATACTGAAATTTCCTTTTGCTAACTATAACATCTTCTATCCCTCTTTGATCACCGTATTTCTTTTCATGGATTGTGTAGGCTTTGTACAGTTCCTGTGTCCGATTCTTTGGAATATGCTGTAATGCATACTTTTAGATTACCCTTGCACGATCATGCTCTCTTTGACCTTCTTCAAACTTTGCAAATGCGAGAAACAGCTTCTCATCCATTAACTCATCTCCAAAGAACTCGACTGCTCGTTCAAACACACCCCGTGTACCTGAGATGAATCCATGCTGTTCTTCAAACCTTGCAAATCTGATCCAATTTCGAATATCTGGATGAACAGACACAAACTTCTCATAAATTCTTCTTGCTCTGTCAGTCTCTTTGTAGCGTAGTTCAAATTTGATGTATGTTAGCCAGGCCTGTTCATCAGGTTCCCATTCCATCCATCGATCGAACACCTGACGTGCACCTGCCACATTCCCAATCATTTCTTCCATGTACGTATATTTGTACCACAACTGATTGGCTCGTGGAAGAACAGTTACAGCTCGATCCCATAGATTACGAGCGTGGTTAACTTGTCGGTTCCTCACCTCCATTTCAGCGTATCTCAGCCATAATATGATGTTGCGATGATCAACATCCAAAGCTCTCTCATAAATGGACCGTGCCCTTTGGACTTCCTTTTGACTTTCCTCCCATTGTGCATATTTAATCCAGTTGCTAATAACTGTACGATTTTTCCTGAGGCTGTCCTCAAAGGCTTTTCTTTTCCTATGCTGGTAATCAGCAAGTTCATCTGGATCAGAGATTTTTTGTTTTGGAGGAGGTGGCAAGATTTAAAGATCTCGTTCTTTGGCTTCTCTCAGAAGTTGTTCAGCAGTGATCTGGACTTCTGCTGGAGCTTTGTTTTTTACATTTGCCACTTTGGGCATTTTCTGAGGTTTCGTCTCCATTCCGGAAGTGAAATAAAAAATTAAACGACCACAATTATTTAAATCCAAAAAATCAAGTAACTTTCAATAAGAAACACGTCTTCCAGAAGCTGTTGGCGCTCTTCACGTCCGGTTCTTCTTCCCGGGACGGCTGCTATATTCAAACTCGACTCTCAGGCTACTGACGGGCGAACTGTTCATAACACACTGACGACGCTGACGACGCTTACATCACTGACTCTCGCTTGCTGCTCAGCCGGCTTTTATTCCTTTCGCCACGTCACTGTCTCGCGCCGTCTTACGTCACCGCGGAGGGGACTGGAGGGAGTGTTACGTCACCGCCACGTACCGCTGGGGAGGTAGGGGTCCTCCGTTCCGCAACGTGTCACACTATATACGTAGGTGAGTCAAATGAAAACCGTAAAACAGATAAAAATTCGAAATATCGCGCCATTGTCCTGTTTGTTGGTAGACATGTTACCAATGCTATAAAGAGTATCCTATAGGTGGCAGTATAATTCAGACAAACAGAACACCATCACAGTCGTTTCAGCTATGCATTATTGTCCCCATTTTTACAACTGTTATACATAAAACGCTGAAAACGTGTCAGAAATATGATAGTGAAGAACTATGGCTTTCGCACTGTATAACCTCTGCATATTTAACGTAATAGCTTACAAATCAAAAACATTTTATGCCATTCAATATACATCATTACGGACCTTCCTCTTTATAGACAGCCTACTGTAGTATATGTTGCTAGGCAACCAATAATTAATCAAACGCTACAAAGTTGTTGCATGGACATTTAATTGTTGCCTAGCAAGTCAAAAATATATCGTGTTTCACTAAACAGGACAGAGGAAGTAATACACTTTTGAAAGAAGAAAATTAGTTTAAAATGGAAGGACTACCTCTCTTACCTGGCTACTATTTTAGGGACCCAACGGTTGGTACTGCATTCCATATACTTGCCTTATATTTGAATTGGTTCATGGTGGAACTTATTTAGTAACGATATTTGTTGTTTAGACAGCTAGTTCTGTAAATTAACTGTTAACAAGATGGCGGACGGTATTGAGGCGTCTAGCTCGAGCTCTATTATTTTAAGTAATAATATAGTCCATAGTGGAACTTCTTGTTTGAGTTGTATAAATTTAAAAAGTGAACTTCAAAGAGTACAAGATGATCTTAAAACTGCTCAGTTTATCATAGAATTACTACAAAAAGAAGTTAGCTCAACATCGGAACAAGAATTCAGTCGTAACTATATCCATCGTAAGGAATGTGGTGAATGTGATACTGATGATTGGAGGCAAGTGAGAGTAAGTCAGGCAACTAAAAAGAGAGTTAATTTATCACCTATTACTGACTACTGTGTTCCAATAGCAAATCGCTATGCAGTGTTAAATAATCTTCAAGAGTCGTTGAATCATTTTCCGAAGTCTGTGTCACCTACTCCAAAAACAACAAGTGGGAAAAAGAAATCTCTTGGTGTAAGAAAGCATACCAATCTTCTGATAGGAGACAGTCACGCTAGGGGCATATCAGAAAGATTGACTTCTCATTTGGGTTCTTCGTATCAATGTACAGGTTACGTTAAACCTAATGCTGACTTAAACATCATTACTTCAACTGCATCTTCAGCTGTAAAAAATCTTGATAAAAATGATGTTGTTATAATGTATGGTGGTGCTATGGATATTGCCAGGGATAACACTGCAAGTGGACTGAGGTCAATTAGGAAATTTGTTCAGAAGTGCATGCATACGAATGTGCTGATTTTAAATGCCCATGAAAGATTTGATCTACTAGCCACATCATGTGTCAATAAGGAAGTTGTTCATTATAATAGGAAGATGAGTAAGCTGATCAAGTGTTTTGACTATGCTCAAGTAGTGAAAGTTGATCTACAAAGGGAGCAGTTCACAGCTCATGGAATGCATGTAAACAGACAAGGAAAAGATGTCACTGCTCGTTGTTTGGTATCGGCAATCCGCAGTATTTTTATTTATCGCCAGTGTGACTCGCCCATTATATTAAAATTGGGAGAGGACCAACAGGATAGGGGTAGTGATATATTGGGTTTCTGGACTTTATCCATCGTCCTAGTTTTTAAGATAACAAAAACACGACGTTTCCAGTGGTCCAGTGATTGAGGCTAGCTCTTTCTAACGGACCCAACAGAATAGGTGTTCCCCTTTTTCCTTCACCTGAGGACGGAAACAGATCCAGTTTCCGAAACGTCGTGTTTTTGTTATCTTAAAAACTAGGACGATGGATAAAGTCCAGAAATCCAATATATCAGTGTGTTATACACCATCGTCAGAATCCTATAGTAAGATAGAGGTAGTAATGTGCAGGAATCTCCAGGGACAAGGATGTTTAATGGAGACTCTGAATTAACTGCAAATAAACCTCATAATAACTTAAATCAGAATTTAGAAAGTGATATATCTCAAAATATAAGGAGTGATATAACCCAGAGTGCTCTGAGTGATACAGTGCAAAGTTTAGATTGTAGATTTTCAGATTTGGATAAAACACTTAGTGCGGTGAAACAAATAAGAATAAATAACAGTACCATACCTACATCAGAGCATCCGTCCATGGACACTACCTGTTCTACTGATCGGAAAAGGGTTAAAAAGCCTCCCAAAACTAGATCTGATGATTTTTTATGGACATAGTATATCAATTTTCTGGGTCATCTGTTAAGCTTAATAATCCCCTGATTCTCTTACATCAAAATATCAGAGGTCTCATCAGTAAAAGGGATGAAATAATTGTTTCCCTAAATGTAGATAAGATTAGTCCACAATTTCTCTGTTTTTCAGAGCACTGTATGTCAGACAACAATTTAAGTCTTGTTAGTATTGAAAATTATGTATTAGGGTCTTGCTACTCTAGATGTAGGTATCAGAGAGGTGGTGTTTGTATATTTGTTCATAAAGAATTATGTTTTAGTCATGTTGATTTATCACCTTACTGTGTGGAAAAAATTTTAGAATTATGTGCTGTTAAAATAGAATCTAATGGTCAGGGTTTAGTTGTTGTTTGTTTATGTAGATCTCCTGCAGGTGATTTTTGTCAATTCTTGAATCTGTTAGAACAAGTTTTATTGTTTTTGTATAAACCATCTATTGAATTATTAATATGTGGAGATTTTAATGTTGATTATTTACTAAACGATAACCGTAAACAGCAATTGACTGTATTACTTAACACTTTCAATATGGTACATACTGTAAATTTCCCGACTAGACTGCAAAATAATCATGCTTCAGCTATTGACAATATTTTAGTAGATAAATCAAGATTATCTTCTTGTATAACATTACCCCTATGTAATGCACTGTCTGATCATGAGGCACAATGTTTTATACTTGATAAATATTTTGCTACTACCAATAAAATTAACAATAAATCAAGATCTAGTTATAAATCTAGATTGCTGACTAGTGAAACTATTAAATATTTCACTGAACAGCTATCTTATGAAAAATGGAATGAAGTTTATCTTAATACTGATGTTAATTGTGCTTTTAATAAATTTTTATCTACATTTTTAAACATTTATGAAGCAAGCTTCCCTGTTGTGTACTTGAGCAATAACAATGATAAAAGATGGATTACTACGTGTATAAAGACATCTTGTAAACGTAAAAGATTTTTATATAAGTTAATCGAATATAGTAACGATCCAAAAGTAAAAACTTATTATAAAAATATTGTTTTATTTTAAGGAAAGTAATTTATGAAGCAAAAAATTATATTATAATCAGTTAATTGAAATTTCTAATAATAGAAATAAAACAGCATGGAATATTATAAGAAATGTATTGCATAAATCCACCAAAGACAATTATATGCCGGTCATGTTTAAAATGGATAATAGGAACATTCAATCTAATGATGTAGCTGATGCTTTCAACGAGTATTTTTTTAATATTGCTCATAGCCTGCAAACACATCCTGATAAAACTAGTTCACCTCTTGAATTATTAAAGAACGCTTTTCAGCCTATTTTTCATAGTATGAAAATAATTCCTGTAACCAAAGGAGAAATTATCAATATAATTTGTTCTTTAAAATCGAAGAAGTCTTCTGGTTATGATGGGATTTCATCTAAAGTATTAAAACTTTGTAGCGTCTTTATAAGTGCGCCCCTTTCCTACATCTGTAATATGTCTATCATTAATGGTGTATTTCCTGAACGCTTGAAGTATGCTGTTATAAAGCCCCTGTATAAGAAAGGAGATAAGGTTGATATTACGAACTATAGACCTATTTCTATGTTGACTGTATTTAGTAAAGTCTTGGAAAGAGTTATGCATTGTAGATTGAGTCAGCATCTACAAGTTAATAATATTCTGGTGCAGGAACAATTTGGCTTTAGGAAAAATTTTTCAACAGACCATGCTGCTTTTTCTTTTACGACTGGCATACTTCAGGCCTGGAATGACAAACTGCAAACTGCAGGGATTTTTTGTGACCTTGCTAAGGCTTTTGACTGTGTTAATTATGAGATATTGACATCTAAACTAGAGTATTATGGAGTCCGGGGTTGTATATTAAACTGGTTCAAATCATATCTATGGGATAGAAAACAGTGTGTGTACATCAAAACAAATGATGGTCAGGACTATTTTTCATCTTGGGAAAGAGTTAAACAAGGGGTTCCGCAGGGGTCGGTTTTTGGACCACTTCTATTTATTATTTACATTAATGATTTGCCTCCATATATTAATAAATTGGCTAAAGTTTTTCTTTTTGCTGATGATACCAGTGTTTTGGTTACTGGTAATAATCATGATGAGCTTAAGCATAAAGTCAGGGGTACACTGTCTCTTATTATAAATTGGTTCACAGCTAATAAGTTGGCCTTAAATATCACTAAAACTAATATTATTAGGTTTGCTCTAAAACAGTCCTATAACTCTCTGGCAGTTGCTAGTGGGAATTTGTTTATAAATGAAGTTTCTGTGATAAAATT